AGCCCCTGTTTCATTTGCAGCTGCTATCTTATTTTAGTGAAATTTACATCATCATACAAGCCACAGATGCGCAGGGGGACAGGTGAGTCATGATTGCGCTATAACCTACAGGTCGTCACCTCGCGTTTTTGCGTGCACGGCCGCATGACGCAATCAGAAAAAACAAACGCCGACTGGTGAAATGCTTTATTTTGCCTGCCAGCGTTCGATTTACACATCAGTCAGAGTGCCACCACCACGCTATGATAGTGGTACTCTATAACACAAATGGATGAGAATGACACAGAAGGGCCAGCGTATTGCTAATACACACGCACAGACATGGAAACTCAATCAGGATCAGGACTTAAATAGCAAAGGAAATGTTACAGAGAGGAAAGGGGGAAAGATAGTAGATACACGCAATTGCGATAGAGTCCCTCCCTCACGCACGCAAGCACGAACGTAAAAAAACGCGCATGGCACACGGAAACACACCTGTCTAGTTTTGTTTTTGCTTTTTGAGGTACGGAATTTTTTCGAATTGTGTCTTCGCCCTTAAATAAGGAAAGTTTTTTTAGAAAGTAATTCTCCCGACCATCTCTCTAACAATACTAATCTTTGCATCAGACACCATCACGCCTTGGTGGTGATACTCGCCTGTTCGGATTTTTGGGCCAAGTTTACGGCTAGCAGATTGAGTGAACACAAAATGCGAATTCGAGCATACCAAGTTAAAACCACTACACAATGATAAGAAAAGAACTAGTACGCAAGACCTGCACCGTAAAATGAGATCTCCAAAACGACCTTACGGTGAAGTGAAGCTACAAAATCAGACAGACCTTATGAAGTACTAAGTTTCAGTATGCTGACTCACTTGCTCCAAATCTTACGCAATTCCTGTTTGGGCTTCTCAGTAAACTTGTCGATTTGCACCTAGGAAGGGATGGGACGTGAAGTTGATGACACATAAAGAAGGAAGAGAAAACATTAACACCATCAAGGCACTGCTGAGACGCGAATGAGCAATAATCTCACACACCGTAGGTGTAACGACCAATATTTTAGTGAAGTGTGATAAGCAAAATACGGCTAGTAAAAAACAGCGAAACTAACTTACATGATACAAATCGTAAATCTTCGGTACAGTGAAGATCAGCGTAAAGCCTTAGAAAATGAAACAAAGTAATTCAAAATTGCTGCGGGCTAAACGAGGATAACAGCAATTATTGTAAATCTCGCAACTAGAAAAAATGACCCGCTAACCGATTAGAACAAGAGTGATCAAGTTGAAAAATCCGCCAAGAATTGATAGAAGGTACACGAGCAGAGCGAACTAGAAACGGAAAATGTAGTGGTAAAGACCTGGATCAAAACTGAACAGAGAGCAATAGTGAACTTGCTTTCAGGGAATCCACATAATTTTCAATTAGGAGATAGTGCCTCAGATCCTGGATAGCAGACTCCGTTTTGTCGAACCTATCGTTTACGTAGTCGTGAACGCGCTGCCGCAAAGCTTCTTTATCTTTGATGAGCCAGTCACTAACGCAAAAAGTGTGCAAAATGAGCAAGTAACTAGAGTACTGAAAGGACAACCAGTACATAAGATACCAAATGAAGAACAAGATAAACAATCAACAACATCATCTACGTGAACTAACCTGAAAGGAGGGGAAGCAGTCTCGTCTCTCTTAGAAGTTATCAAATCGTAGTAAACGCGTGCGGCGCCAGTACAACAAAGGATAGCAAGGCAGATGTAGGCAAAGACTGATATCAAGGAAAGACACCCAACACTGAACAGAAGAGTAAAACCTGTCGCCATGACAATGGCCGACTCAACCGGCTTTTTCCAGTAGATCAGAGATATTACTGTAAAGAAACCGTACCGCATCATTCTAGCCTGTATACGCAACCTCGCAAATTAGATGAATTCAATCCCACAAAATCAGCGG